CTCACTGTCTTTTCTTCCTGGCATTCATACCGTGCAATTCTTTCTTCATCATTGCAAGTAATAATTGCTATTTTAACAGTAGGCCCAATATCACTGTTGCTCATAATGAGTTCCCAATGTTCCTCAAGGGAGGAGAGGAAAAGAGTCAGGGAATTGCTAGCAAACCTACCCTACTATAATTTGGGTCTTTATTAAATTGGAAACATATTTTGTAAGGGAGTGCTTTTCTCTCTTTTATAGTCTGAAGAGTAGATGAACAGAGTCGATTTTGGTTTTTACATCTCGTTGGTACTGCTTGTTAAACATCTTATCTGTAGCTGCTATTGAATTCAGTTCCAAATAGATTCCTAGTCCTCTGTCTTTTACTGAAAAACATAAACCCAAACAAGAGGAATCCAGAGAGCGTCCAAGAAAATGCCCCCATTTTCAGATTGGAAGCATTGGGATAGGCATGGTAGAAATCTTCACTCTTACTCTGAGGGCAGAAGGAATCCAAGCTATGGTGTAAGAGGTTTGGTGGGTTGGGACCAGGCAGACTCATTAGGGATTTCATAACTGTATGCTTTTCATATCATAAGCCCAGCACAGAACACAAGGAGAAGCAGTCAGTGCCAGTTCTAGAAATAGATATGAAATATCAGTTGTTAAAATAAATGGCTAAAAATAGAAGTTTTAACAACCAACTGCTGTATTTTAGATATACTATATGGTGGTTTATATATGGTATTTTTTTAATTTATATAACCAATGTGAGGTGACACTAAGGAATCCTCATCATCTCAGTGCTTTTCACCTGAGTCAGTATAATTGTGAGTTCTGAAGGAAGGCAAAGCCTTTATAACATCAACATATTCACTAAGGAACTGACCGTTTATGAAGCTATCCCCCAACCAACAACCTTTCTCCATTGACACATGTTCTGTCATTCCATCAGAATATTTGCGGATCAGTCTCTAGCTGCAAATAGAGTACATACCCAGAACAAAAGGATACAAAATGGAACCATTTGTACAGCAAAGATTAAAGGGAGCTCGTGAGAAAGTTGATGAAAAGTGAGTCAAAGGCCAAAGAATGATGATCAAACTGCAAAAGTCAATCACGAAACAATGCATCTTTTATAGGATAATGATAAAATTACATAAGAAATATTAATGACTGATTTATAATTTTTCCTAATAATGATCACATTGTAACAATTATCATCCACACAGTAGTTGATATTAGATCAAATAAACTCACCTGCATACGTTTTTAGTTCCAGAAAAATTCCCATTTAGACTTTATTAAAAATAATTTAATTCCCATTTAAATAGACTGATTAAGTGGCATTTCTCTCCCATGAATTATCCTCAGATAGTAAGAACTTTCTGTATACTTTATTTTACGGAAGAGGGAACTCGTGTTCTGAGGAGTTAAGTACTTCCATGTAGTCCCATCACTTACAAGCTGTTAATCTGAGAGAACTGTTTCCAACTAGAGAATTTTGATGCCAAGTCCAGGTTTCTTTTCATCGTACATCAGCTATTTTAAACTTCTCTTTCCCTTACATTCTATATCACGTTGTAACTGAATATCTTCAATTTGGCCACATTTTCCTCTGCTTTTCCCCTCACATGGAAATTCACTATCACCAAAACTATTTCTTTAGGCTCCTGATTTTAGGGATTCCTTTTAGAATAATCAGCATTGAAAGATACTGCCTGGCTGGATATTCCAACCTGTCTGATGTTTGGAATCCTGGGCAATTTTAAACAACTACCTTTGGAGATGGTGGGCCTCCTTACTAATGCCATCTGAATTCCATGTAGCTAGATTTAATATTTACAACTGCAGGATTTGTGAAAGAGTGATTAATTTGGGAAGTGCTTTCTCTGATAATTTATACAACCCAACTATCCCTGACATAAAGAAAAGCCCCCAGGGGGTTCAGTTGGTTAAGGGGCTGACTTCAGATCAGGTCATGAATCTTAGGGTCCTGAAATCGAGCCCTGCCCCCTTGCTTATCGGGGAGACTGCATTTCCTTCTGTCTGCCACTCCCCCTGCTTGGATGCACACACAAAAAAATCTCTGACAAATAAAACTAAAAAAAGAAAAAAAGGAAGAAACTTATATCAAGTACCCCACAGAAACCTTTTACACACTCATGCCTTCATTAGCAACATTTTGTCACTGAACTTTAATATTAGCCACTTAAACATAACAATACGCTTCAAAGTGTAGGATTGTTATAAGCTCCTTGGTTTTAAAAAAAATGTGTTCTTGGTAGTAATTGGCATTGTTTGAAAATCTTATTTTTGTGTTAGGATGGCAAAAGGCAGAAAAATCCTATGGCTGTGCTTTCAAGGAATGATTTTAAGACTTCCATTATTTCAAAAAGTAATAGCATCATTTTTTTTTTCTGTTGAATACATTAGGTTCCCCCCAGCTCTATGTCCAGCAAAAGATATCTGTCACTTTAATAGAAATGACTAAAATAGTTGTAAAGAAATGGCCATCTACATGCCATCAATTCAAGCACAAACTTGAAATTATTTGGTTATAATGAAATAGAGCCTCTTTAGCTGTGATAAAGGCAATACTGCATTGTTATTATTCTTACAGCAATGGATAGAATAGAATCCAATTATAATGACATTTAGGGTAATAGGTATTTAGGTCAAGAGGATAAACATAATATTATAAAACTGAAGAGTATTTAAGCAGGAATTAATGTAAAATCTTGAACCAAATGTATTCACCAAGCAGGGACAAGATTTCAAATGAATGATGTCCAACTGGTATGATTTGACTTGGGTGATGCTGGGGAGAACATAAAAAATGCATGGTCTTCATAGGAGCTCACACCCAGGAAGAATGGGTTGATTCTGTCGTTAACCAAACACATGTCATCACTGACTCAAATTTACCTTCATCCAAAGTTCCTTTTATGTTTCCCATTAAAGGACGTGGTAAGTAGTTATCCTTGCTCTCTCAATTTGGGACTAATACAGCAGCCTCTGGACCAAAACTTTGACTTGGAATCTTGTCTTGCACCTTACTTCACTCACTTTTTTGACCTTAGACAAGTGAGTTAGAGTCTCCCTCATCCTCCTTATCCAAAGTATTGGAAGAATTTTCCTTTAGGGTTGTTATTATCCTTTAGCATTTAAGTATTTAGAACATTACCTTCATACTTGGTACTTGCTCAATAATTGATATATTATCATACATTTTCAGATACCAGATATTACATAGACAATGTATAAAAATATGAATTTAACAGATACTCAATTAGTGCTTAATACATGTGAAGCATCATGTTAAGGACAAAAGCTCGAACCTCAAGGATGAAGAATGGGGGCACCTGGGTTTCTCAGTGCGTTAAGCATCTGACTCTTGATATTGGCTAAGGTCTCAATCACAGGGTGGTAAGTTCAAGCCCCACCTTGGGTTCCACACTGGGAGTGAAATCTAACTTAAACAAAAACAACTCTTGGTTTTCCCCATAGGTTTTCTCAGAGAGAATTAGTTTAGCACAAAATCTATAATCTTCTAGTAGCCAGGAAGAGGTCTAGTCTAGTGAAAGGTGAGTCACTCTTACTCATCCCTGAACTTGAGAACATCTGAGAATTATCTTGACCCAGGGCTTTCAAGGGAATTCTGTGTTGAACTCTCCCTCACTTTCCATTTTTCTTAACATAGAAATCTAGAATCTGTGACATCAATTAAAAGACCCCACTTTAAATAGCTTTAATAGCACTGCCTTACCATATTCTTCCCCTAGCTCTGTTTGGACCACACTGGCCTTCTGTTGGTGCCACAAATGTGGTGTGCTCCTTTGCATCTCAGGGCTTCTTCGTGTGCCCTTTCTTCAGCAACAAGACACCTCCCGTACATCATGTCTGGCTGACTTCTTCAGGTTTCTGCTCAAAGGTCAGCTGCTCATGGAAATGTTCTGACTCCTTCCCAGACTGGCATTTACCCCCATAACATGCTGTCATGGAACTGTTTTTCTTTTTTATCACAAATACAATTAAATAGTTAACTTTATAACAACAGTGGAAGGACATCATATTCACAGACAATAGCAATGAAACTACTTGCACATAGTACCTCATCAACAAGGACAGATTAAGGACAGGAGTGAGTTGGGGAGAGAGCAAGAGAGAAACACAGACATTTAAATTCTGCCCACTGTTCCCCTTTAACAGGTTTAAGACCTGATGCTTACGAGTGGGCGTTAAATGACATGGGAGCCCTGCTTTTTCCTTGGCTATTCCTATTAACCAGTTGTCTTTTTTTTTTTTTTAAATGAATTCGAATACCAGTATTTGAACATATTTTTTCAAACATCCAGCTTCCTTCACACAAGCCAACAACTTCATTCATCTTGTGTTCAGTGAAAAAACAATTTGGCTCTAAGCTGTAGGACAATTGTCCATATTGAATTAATTGAAAGATAGTCTGGAGACCTTGGGATGGCAACTTCCTAAGGAATTTTCTAGGATAATTTAGGTTGTGTGCAATTTTCACCCTACTTGCCAATTTAGAACCTACCAAGAAAGATACAACTCTATTTTTAATATTTTTAATTTTGGCCTAAAGTACATGGTCTATGAGGGCAGAAGCTAAATCTGGCAATTTCATCCCTGTATTTCTAGCACATAGCAAGATACCTGGATCATACTGCAGCTTAATAAATATTTGTCAAATTAATTAGCACTCCCTCAATGTTTACAGGATCAGTCTATTTGGGCAACAGTACAGAGTTTGGAGTTAGGAAGACTAAAGTAAAAGGCAGACAGAATTCCAAGACCTTAAGCATTATGGAAACCTTCCATAACCTGCATGTCTGTAGGAAACTAACTTAAAATGGCAGGAAAAACTGAGAGCCAGACATGACAAAATTTGGTGTATTTTCATGAAGACTTGTGTATGTAAGACAACATTCTGGGTTTTTTTAATTCTCTTACTAAGCCAGCCTGTAAACAAAAAGCCAACACCTTCCTTATCATTTTAGGTCAAATGAGCCGGGCTCGATTCATCATTATGCCAACCCAAGGAGAAGGACGGCCATGCCCCACAGAGCTGACCCAGCAGAAAACCTGCCCAGTGACGCCTTGCTACAGCTGGGTCCTTGGCAACTGGTCCACATGTAAATTGGAGGTAGGTCACGTGATGGTAGTTAAAGAAATGCTTTTTAGTTGGTCTAAAGCATTTGTCTGGTCAGCCTGTGTGCAGATGGAATAGATTTCACAGCACTAGGGGCCTGGCATTATGTATTTTTATGCAATAGAACACACGCAAAATTACAACCGAATGACTTAACCTTATGCCGAGTGTCATTGCCAGAAAAATAGCCATTCATTAGGCATGGGTTCTCATGGGATCATGGGACTTTGTTTCTCTTAGGTGTTCTCTGGAATACAATGTTATGTTCTTGGCTTGTTGAAAATATCAAAGTATTATTTAATTAGGCAAAACCCTGATGCAATGGAAATGCACAGATTGCCTTATTTCTTCAAGAGGCACTTTAAGGCTTAGACAAAATCTTGCATATGGGCAGAAAACCAAAAGTGTATGAAAGTTATATTTTAACATTATTACACAAACCAAGGTTACTACATTTTCCTCAATGATTACTTTTTTATTGACCTGAAATATAAATGCCTAACATCATCATCATATATCACATACCCAGAGCTTTTGCTAGATCAGCAAAGATCCTCTCCTGCATTTTCTCTGTGGTTTCTTGTATAAGAAAAAGCGCAATTGATTTTCTTTAGGTTTTTATTTTACCAGTTTATCCTTCAGTTCATATTCCAAAGCACATTTTAATTAGGTAACAATAATTGTGATTATGCGTTAAGAAATCTGCCGAGTATTCTCAGAGAGATGTTTAGTGTTCCTGTCAGGATGACATTGTCATGCAGCATTACTATCTTGCAGAAGTTAAATGCCGATGTATTTTAATAAGTCCCAGAGGAACAGCAGTGTGTGGTACATTTGTTCAGTCTCCTTTTTACAGAAAATAAGATAACCATGCTCATTAATTCAATAGTAATCTAATGGCTTTAAATATGAATACTTTGTCTATGAATTGAAAATCATCTTCTTTCCTAAATCTTGAGCAATTTCCAAATGCCGCTTGGAATCCCAATAAGGAAATGGAAGGAATGTTTTTCCTTAGCACGGTGATAACTGTTGACAGAGTAGAGAAAATAAACTCAAAGAATTCAGGAACCCATTGCAGGGGAAGGGAGAAAAAAGTTAGCGGGGAGGGTGGGAAGATGCAGGCCTGATAAACCCCTTACTCCAAGTCTTGCCAGGCATACAACTACTACTTCTACCTTACTTGTTCTTTCGCACCTTCCCTTTTTATCTTCTCAGGTGTCAGGAGCCCTTTCTTTCTTTCTTTCTTTCTTTCTTTTTTTTTTTTTTTTTTAAGAGTTTTTATTTATTTGATAGAGAGAGATACAGCAAGACAGGGAACACAAGCAGCGGGAGTGGGAGAGGGAGAAGCAGGCTCCCCACCAAGCAGGGAGCCCAGTGCAGGGTCGAGCCCAGGACCTTGGGATCATGACCTGAGCCAAAGGCAGATGTATTATACCACTGAGCTACCCAGGAGCCTTTCTTTTTTTTTTTTTTTACACACATATCTGTCCACTTGTCCCATGGGAACATTATGGGGCTATGCCAAATGTAGTGTTTCAGGTTGCTGTCACATACTGAGCTTTTTGCCAGAACCACAGGACCAAGAGCGGTGGGTTGTAAACATTTTCTTCAGAAATGCCAGTGGGGGTTGGGGGTCATCACATCCTTTGGAGATACCCAGGCTTGGAGGCCATGGGAGCCCCTAGCAGCAAGTGTATCCTCAACTCTCAGAACTGCTTCCGATTTCTAGATGAGCTTCTTGTTCACTGGCACCTCCAGGCAGGAGGGAAATCTGAAGTTTGACTAAATCCAGGCAAAGCTCTTGAAAAACACATCTGGAGTTAATTGTTCCAGGGTTGTCACCTTACCCAAATGAGGCCCTTCAGCCTTCTTCCCTAAGAATTTGGAATGGTACTAAAGCTGTTGGAAGATCGTGTATTTGCGAACTCTCACCTGCCACATTTTCCTACCTTGCGGATAAAATAAGTAGCTCTGAAACAAGAAGAAACAAAGGTACAGAAAAAAGAAGAGGGGAAAGAGAAAGGGAAGCATGATGATAGGAGTTGAATTTTGCCCGAGTTCAAGCTGCATTTCTGCTTTTCTTGAAGCCTAACTGTGAAATCTTTGTGAGATGGCTAACCCAGTATCTTTTTGGAAGATTGCCTCTTCTTAAATGTGTATGTCAACAGAGTTTGGAACAGCTGATCAAAATACATGTGGGCCTCTGCACACAAAGGAAGATCCCTGCTCACACAGCTGCACTCCTGTTTCTCCTTGTCCTTGCCTGCCAAATACAGGTTGGGCACGCACTCCCTGAGGGCGGTGGGGATATCCACGTGGCCCACTGCCATCCAACGGATCAGACCAGCAGAGGAGCTAACATAGGGCCCAGCGGATGTGCCAGTTCAGCCACAATCTTACATGGAGAGAGATTAGCACAAGGAAGCATTCATCCTCAGGCTTTACTTTTTTAGTGTTTTCTGATTTTTTTCTTTCCAGAGTCCTCCGTTGATAACATGTATCCACATAGAGATTGATAAATCTGTTTTAGGAGCTCAGACTCCTGAGTCTAGCAGGCTTTATTTTGGTCAAAGTTCTGTCAGTTCTTAGCTCTGCAAATTTTGCCAAGTCTGTAAGCTCTCCAAGTCTGTTCTTGTTTTGTTCTGTTTTGTTTTGTTTTGTTTTTTGTTTTCATCTCTTATCAGGAGAATAGCGATCGTACCTGTGTTTCTGGGAACTTTTCGTTGGGATTACACCATTTTAATACAGTGCTTACCATGGTACCTGACATAAATTAAGAGCTCAATAAATTGTAGCTGCTATTATAATTTTGATTAAAACTGTGATTATGATTATTGTCACCATCTGCCTCTCCACATCTGGTGGAGATGCCAATTCAGAACATACAAAATGTCCATCAATGATGGGGACAGAGGATTGTCAGTGGGAGAATCCTTGGTTATTGACAGTCTTGCTCACAGAAGCCTAGGTCTGTTTTCAGCCTCTAGTGTATAAAGCTTCATGAATGAGAGTGAGTGAATGCTTGCTTTGTGAATGAGATTATCCTTCAGATACTGATTTCTTTTCGTTTTATGGCTGCTGTTGTCAAAGATGGAAGAGATTCAGGTTGGCTGTGGATACATATGAGGAGCATATTATTGTTTGTCTTGGTGTTTAAAGGCATCCCTGATGGAGACTTGTTTCCTGTCTTTTTAAACAAAACTAATCAACTGCATCTTCTGTTACCCAAGGTTCCAGACAGCAAATTTCAAATTTCATACATGCTACTGTGCCTTCATACTCTTCTCTCCATGCACTCTGTAGCAAAACATCACCTCGGACAAGTCAGCAATGGATCCATCATCCAGGATAATGACTTCTAAGAGAGACCCCTAAAAAAGAAATTCTACTTATACTATTTTCCACTTTAGAGAGTAAACATTTACTAGAGCTAAATGAATCTGCTGTGAATCAACTCTGAATCTCTCTCCCAAAAAATGCACTTGGGTCTGAAATTAGGGTGCATTTCTTTTGACAGTTTCATAGTGGCCAGAGAAATGGCTGGAGCGGTTATGAAGTGTTGATAAATCAGGTGTGAAAATTGTCATCTTGGATAAAGAAATGCTAGTTCTTGTTAAAATCGCTAGAAGCAAAGGTGATGGTCCCAATTTATGTGCTTCTTCAGATTTTCACGCTTTAAGTTGCTCCAACTTGGACCTCCTCTAAGTTGCACCTTTTCTTTCTTGTTAATAGGTCTTTGAATCCTAACTTCCTTATTATGTAAAGCATTTTTCTCAGCAGCTGCACTGTACCAGCCTGGATGTCCAGCAGTCTGTCCAACAACCTGTCCAACAACCTGCCCTTGGCACTCAGCAGCTGCTGCCACGATGCCTGGCCCTGGTCGGTGTTCCACAGGCCCAGCACCCACCCCACACCTGCCCCACGCCCTGGCCCACTATCCTGACTGCACTGGTCAACCACCCCCTCCTCCTTCACTCCTGCCAAAGGCCCCAGCAGCTCCAAAGCCTTAGAAAGGCAGTTTCTGGCTCCTGCAGTGGGAAAGGCATAAAAAGAACATGAAACCCAGTTTTCCCAGTGCAGGGCACAGTTACCAGACTGCCACCTAATAAGGAGTTGATGGATGAGAGCACGTGGCATCCCTGATTGCAGCAGCATGGGTGCAGAGAACTTGCTCTAGCTCTTTCTCTCCCCTTCTGGACTCCCGCCATACCATCAGGAGTCATGGAAACTCTACCTCCTCCACTGAATTCTGGAACTAGCGGGAACTAACATCGCTCAGAAGTTTAGGGGAGTTAATACTGCCTGGGATTGCCTCCCTCCCTCGTCTTAGATGGTACCAAGGCATGGTGTTATCACATGGCCTGTCTGGAAGACATGAGTGTCCAAGAAGCCAGCTGGTAACTCACTACTTTGTGAAGTTGTGAAACTGAGGCCAGCTTGATAACTCACTACTTTGTATTTGCTTTCCCTCCGTTCCTGCTGTAGTTCCTCACCTTCTCTCTTGCCATCCTGGGATTTTACCTCCTTAGCATAGAAGCTCTGCCTTCTGCTCTGTTTTCTATGGTACTTATGGAAAAAACAGAGCTATCTCATATCTATCTCTCTAAAACTATCTAAAGCTATCCTCATAGCCAGTGGACTTATTTTTGAAGTATGAACACCTGACAAAAACTGAAGAGAAAATACTCATGAGTATCTGCCAAACACATTATAGTGGGAAACCTTTCATCAGGCAGATGGTTAGGTCAGATAATCACTAACAGCTTTCCAGTTCTATGTTTCTGTTTCTGTGAGACACTGCACAATTTTTTTCTAATTGCCCAGAAAAATCTGAGTGGGATTTATATTAAGTATCTTTTAAAAAAAAAACATTATTCAACAGGAAGGCATGCTGGGAAAACAACTTCTTGTGGCAAGAGAGAAAATCGGTGTTTTATTGGAAACCCCAGCCTATTCCATATAAGAAAGTACCGAATTCCCTACCAAAGAAAAACAAGCTAAGTAAAAGAGAAATGTATGCCCTGTGGCTGTACACATGCTCTCTTGGGGAGTGATTATGGATTAGGCCATTTTAATACATACACCTAGACAAATTCTGTATTGTTTGTTCTTTTTCAGTCAATCCTGGCTGAGTTCCGAAATGAATCGTCCTAATCTGAGTACATAAATTCCATGGAATAAATTTGCATTTCTACTTCAGCTTCTCTGTCAGCTCTAGGAGAATTGCTCAGTGATGCTTTATTGTCAACAATTGAAAGATAACTCCCAAGAGAAGGAAGCTACTGATTTTTCTTGGGTGAGAGGTGGCCAGAGCCAAAAACCTGGGAGATGCTTATTGTTTGGGTAATTCTGACAGTATTCTTTGCTTTAATAGGGTGGAGACTGTGGGGAAGGAGTCCAGATCCGCAGCCTGTCCTGCATGGTCCACAATGGTTCAAGCTCTCAGTCAGCTGTAAGTGTAGACGCTGCACTGTGTGGAGAAATGCCCTTTCAAGACAGCATCCTGAAACAGCCATGTTCTGTGCCTTGCCCAGGTATGTAGTTTTGGGAGGGACTCCCTTGTGGATTTTTACAGTCATTAAAAAAATTTTTTTCCTGGAAAAGCTCTCACTGAAATTGAAATTTTGAATTAACCACAATTAAAAATCCAATAAAATTATCACTTTGGAAGATCCCTACAGCTTCAATGGAGGCAAGGTAGGTAAGAAGCAAAAAAAAAAAAAGAAAAAAAAAGGCACCAGACTTGGAAATTTAAGAATGAAGTTAGAATTTTGTCAAATCACTGGTGTTTTATCAGGATCATAGAGTCTAGTGCCTTGGACCAACAATTATTCTATCTAGAAAATCTGTTAATAATGCCTAACCTGACAGTGTCTAACACACTGGCTATCACTCGAAAAAAATGCTGACTGGCTCCTTGAGTTGATGAACCCCTGAAAGATGGTGTGTGGAAACAAGTAAGGCTATAGGTTCATGAAAGCATTCTGTAATTGTCAAGGTCATTATTAGTTACATAAAATGTATGAGTTGATTTTTAGTCCTAATAACCAACCTAGCTGATATGGTCTTTCAGGTAGCTGAATAGGTCCAGGTGTGTGTAGACACATACATCTATATACACACACAATTGTGTATGTTCAAATTATTAAACATCCTTTATACTCAAAGATATCCCACTTCAGAGACCAGCTTCTCCCTTTTATATGGTTTCTATGGATGTCTATTTTATGACGTTATGCCTCTCTTTGAAAACTGAGTTACTGTTTTGAGAAGTTTATTATTACTACAAGATACATGGTGTCCTCTAGATAAAGCTGCCATGATTTGAAGTAATGGCAATTTAGTTTTTTATACTTTCTTGCTAAACTAGGTTAAACCATTAATCATCATTCGTAGCATATCCTAAGTGAAAAATTGGTTAAGGTAGCATGTATAGTGTGTACAACCCACCCCTGTCACTGTGCCATCACCACAGATGTCATTGTGAACCCTCTCCAGGTAAACGTTTTCAAGTGCCAGTTTTCATATTATTTTCCTTCCTCTGCCCTGCACAATCATCCAGGAGACTGCCACTTAACGGAATGGTCAGAATGGAGCACATGTGAATTAACCTGCATCAATGGAAGAAGCTTCGAGACCATGGGCCGCCAGTCTAGGTCAAGGGCTTTTATAGTCCAGTCTTTTGAGAACCAAGACAGCTGCCCTCAGCAGGTTCTAGAAACACGCCCCTGTACAGGTACCAAAAGCACATTTCGATTCTCAGCCTTGATTGATCAATGCTTATTCTATTTTTATGTGAGGTGTAATAGAACCGCTGTTATCATATTTACTTGCAGGAGGCAAATGTTATCACTACACATGGAAAGCAAGTCTTTGGAACAATAATGAACGAACTGTATGGTGCCAACGTTCAGATGGCATTAATGTCACAGGTATTCCTGCCTAAGATTTGTGTGGGCACTTCAAAAAGATCTCTGAGTGTTGCTGTTTGTGAGAAGAATTAGCTTACAAAGTATAAGAGAAGACTGAGCAGGTGGCCTTAGATGATCTTCATAGCAAATTGTCATTAGGCCTTATTTTGTTTTAAATTTTTAACTGAAGTATCCTTGGCATAATAGCATTAAATTAGATTTAGGTCTACAACATAGTGATCCAATAATTATATACAAGATGCCCACCATGATAACTGTATTACAGTATAATTGACTAAAGTCCATATGCTGCATTTTTCTTCCCTGTGACTTATAACTAGAAACTTGTACCTTTTAATCCTCTGCACCCATGTTACCTGACCCATCCCCCTGCCCCCACTTTTTGCAACCACCAGTTTGTTTTCCGTATTTATGTCTGGTTCTTTCTTTTTTGTTGTTGTTTGTTCATTTTTTCTGTTTTTGGATTCTATGTATAAGTGTAATCATATGGTATTTGTCTTTATCTGTCTTATTTCACTTAGCATAACACCCTCCAGTTCCGACCATGTTGTTGCAAATGGCAAGACTCCATCCTTATGGCTGAGTAATAGACCTTTGCATCTTAGAAAGCAAACAACTTTATCCCAAGACCCATAATATCCAACAACTTACACAATAAAATTTCCTTGAATATCATGTTCTGAGACAAAGTCTGAAAAAGACACATGGGAGTTTAAAACAACAGTCTCTAAAGTTTTAAATCATGTACCTTCTCAGTAAAAAGTTTTTGAGGACATATCCCAACATTCTATGCTATACGATGCTATCATATCATATTATAAAACACATACAAAAGTTGAACGTAAAAGGGTGGATAAAGATATAATAAATTTGTTAAGTGCAAGAAAATGTATCGCACTGGAAGCTTGATTTTGGATATTTTGCTAGTCATTATTATTATTTAATATCTAAACATAGATGGAGCAAAGGTTTTTTACTCATGTCAGTGGATACAATCTGATTGTACAAATGATCTCAATTTTAAAGTTTTTTAATGCCTTCTCAGAGAAAATTGTCAGTTTTTACTGCAGCTGACAGAGCTTATCATATCAATGAGAATTTCTGTTCTTCCATAGGAATGGAAGAATTGTTAGCCCTGTCTTTGTCTTGTTTTCCTATATTTGTGTTATTGTATTCTCTTTAATCCATAGTTTATCCGTATGCTAATTTATTTTAAGCTGCTTGCCCGTTCTGTAAGTTATTGTTGAAACTGAATACGTTGTGAATCTGTTTAACCAGGAACATCACAAGCAGCATCCTCTCAGCATCCTGAGAGCGGGCTGGTGCGGGTTACACTATCAAATTCTCCTCCATGGACTTGCACAGTGTACAACACTGGGCCATCCATTGATGAGCTCGGGTTATCACTATCGGCTGTTAACTATCAGCTTCATTTCATTTTTTAAGTTTAAACAACATTTGTATGAGCTACACAAATTCTAGTATCTTCTAGATACTAGAAGATGCATGGTGTCCTCTAGATAAAACTACTAGAGATTCTAGGGAATCTCTACCAATTCCCTAGAGAGTCTGTCCCCAGGGGCGCAGACACTGCTCTTTGGAGATCTCTGGTTAAAAGAGTGGAAACCCCCCCCCGCCGCCCCCAAGCAGTACTGGCAGCAACACCACCATGTGGTTATTGCTCCTCTGTCCAAATTATCCATTCACACGGAGGTATATTTCTGGATTTTAGGTTTTTGTTTTTGTTTTGTTTTGTTTTACCCTGTGAGGATTTTTATTCTTTCAGTAACACTAGGAATTTAGCTGCTTCGTTCACAGGAAAAACATAGGTCTGTTTCCTACACCATCTTGGGCTGCAAGCTTTTTGCTAGGTACCCAATCATAAGCTATAACTGGGTGGCAATTATAGTAAGGCAAAAGCTAGAATCTATAAGTGAAACCAGTATTACATAAATACAATTTAAATGCTACCCTCAGTACATCAAGTTCTTAGCCTAGTACCTGACTCCTGAAAGGCATAACTAATGTGTAAATTATCGCAGAGTACAGAGACATTATTCCATCCATTTACTCAAAAATATTTAATACCTGCAAGTACTGTATCAGATGTATGACTGCCTCTCCAGGAGCTTATACATTTGCTTTTTTAAAAAATGCGTCAAGCTCCATTTGTGACTGCGCGTATATGTGTGTGTGTATGCATTCTGGCTGAGACATATTTTAAAGCTTTACCAAAAAGTTGGCTATTGTGGTCCATGAACCTATTTGTGGCTTTCTTTTAACATTGGTTGTTGCCAATTGGCTTATTGCCTAGTTGGGGTATTCAGGCACTGGAGAAAAATATACAAAGAATGGGTCTTTGAGCAGATGTACTTTGGGCTCCTGAACTGAAATTGAAATTTCATCCATTCTTTTTCTGGCCCGGCAAACAGATGTGGCCCTCAAACAGAGTCCTATGATAGAATCACATTTGCCAATGAATAGGTACAAAAACTACCGCAACCATCTTGTTGGCAGAGCCTCCCATCTTGAACAATTCTTCCTAATCAATAAAATACAGCTGGACCATTGCATATAAAAAAGAGTATGTTACAGAGTGCCCAGAGAGGAAAACCATTTTTTTTTTAATATTTATCATAGAAAAGTCCACAAATGATGGTGGGTTTTGTGTTTTTTGTTTTGTTTTTTTGTTTTTGTTTTTCTTTGTAGGAGGCTGCGCCCCTCAGGCACGTCCTGCTGCTATTCGGCAGTGTAATCCAGCCTGCAGAAAACCTTTCTCCTACTGTACACAGGTGAGTCCCGGGCTGAAGCCTTCTAGACCTTAAACTGCTGTCTTCTGCATAAGCTGGTGGATGTTTTCCGTCCTGCAAGCTACAGCCCTAGCAGCAGTTCCATGTGCTCACGGTACCATCTAGAGGAATTTGCAGGAATAATCATAGCCATTAAGGATTTTTTTTTTTTTTTAATAGAGCCATGTCTTAAGGCTATAGCCAAATCTGCCTTTCAGATAGTTAATTCATATTAGCTCTGCTTATCAATAAATGTTCTCAGTTGATTTATTCTTTCATTATTAGCTTTTCAGCTACCCAAACTATTTTGAAAGATCTTATCAGTGTTCATATTTGCTAATTATTTAGTAAACTGACTACACTAGTATGAGTAAACTTTCAGTTCATTTAAAATAAGTTAAATATTTGCCTGTGGAGAAAAAGTATGTATGCACATGTGCACATTTTTTGTTTGTTTGGTTTTTAAAGCAGAACTCTTTCTTCCATTCTTCTCCCTTCACTCCCATTTACCACTGCTCAGGAATTAATGCAAAATGTGCAGTGTATTCTAATCAATGACCCTCATAGGGAGCAGTGCCTCTATCATGTTCCTTAAAGGAACAGGTTTCTTATTATGTGCTGTTTCCAAAAATGATCCTGTTAAAAATAATTCAAGCACTCAATCCTATTTTATTGCTCTTTCACTTCAAGGTGGGTTAATTCCTTCCAAAGAAAAGCTAGTGCCTAAGCTTACAGAGGAGAAAAGAGGTCAGCAACAACTTCTAGGCTAATCAGGTTTGCAAAAGAGAAGGTGTAGCTTTCCACCAGCTGTCTGGATACCCTCTTTAATAAAACATAAATACCTTTTGCCTTGAACTTTTGGCACATGTGATTGGCTACAGCTTTTCAGTTAGATTAGAGGTGATCTTAATTGTCTTAATTAGCTCTCTATTAAACATCATGTAATATCTTCAAATGAAATGCTGTATTGTCATTATTATAGGAATGCTGCCTTTTACTAAACAATGGCAATTATTAATTTTAATGTACTTTTCTGACCTTTTCCTCTTGTAGAAGATGGAGGTGCCATCCTTAGCTTTAGTATCTTTTGTTCCTTAACATCATGTGTTCAGTTAACAATCGATGACCCAAATGTACCGATCCTTATGGCTCACCCAGCCTTGAGTGGCTATGTGAGACTAGAGTCTGTTCAAAAAATGCCAAATAGTTTCAGGTAAGGTGCCCCTACAGCAAACTCATAATTTTATGCCTAACTTGTTCTATTCTTCTCTATTGTCTTTATGTTTACTGGAGGACAGAAGAGCAGTTATTTTCAGTTTCACTTCTAGAGACAGAGAGAAATCCTTGTTTGTTACATCTCACCCTAGCTAGCATCTTGGAGAGGTTTATTGTACATGAAAATGATCAGGAGTTCAGAGAAACAGGAAGGACACATTGTTACAGTGCCAACTAGGAATGTGTTGTAGTGTGACACCGGGTTCCTCCAAGGAAGACTGTGGAACGTGTGCCTTTGGTGAAGTCTTTTTTCTTTTTCTCCACTCAGGCTGCCCCCCTTGAGTGCAGAACCAAGCCTGCAAGCAGAGAGGTAGTTCAGACTAGTTAGTGAGCAGTGGTAGAAGGTGGTAAGCACATTCAGCAGCTGACATGGCAACAGACATCAAAGAGCACAAAGCCCAAAGGCGCTTCTTACATAATCCCTGTTGCTTTACTTCTCAGCATCAAGGGCAGCAGGTTCCAGTGAGTGGGCAGGAATTTCAAACAGTTGCATTGGGGAGACAGGGAATGGAGGATAATTTGATTAAATGCCTTGAACATTTCTGTAAGGGAGAAAAGGATAGAGTTGATGCCCTCTATTGACAAAGAATTGTGATTTCTTACTTGGAAGGCATGAGATCTGATGATGTATTTAAGGTTGACTTTGGAATTCACAAGAAAGGAACTGCTCTGTTTTTTATCTCTTTTGCAACTCTATTGCTGAAAAACCCCAAATTGTCATAACACATCACACAGGTATTAAGTGATTCCAACTTTTACATTGTTCATTTTCATCACCATGTAACCATAAAACTATTTTGTATGCTGTAGGGTGGAGTCTGTGGTTGTGAGAAGGGCTACAGAGAGATCATGAGGTCAAATGGTTTCCTGGATTACTGTATGAAAGTACCTGGCTCTGAGGAGAAAAAAGCTGATGTGAAGAACCTTGCAGGGAAAAACAGACCTGTGAATTCAAAGATACATGACATTTTTAAAGGATGGTCACTTCAACCTCTTGATCCAGGTACATTGAAGAGTAAGAAATACACATTTACTTGAGGGACATCGGGGTTCCTATTGTCATTGATGCTTATGACATAAAGAATGGAGGGAAGGAGTAAAAGAGGAGAGAAGAAAGAGGTGATGTGGTCCAATTCAAGGTTTCTCAAATCTGAATGTCATAAAGCGAGAGTCCCTTTCAATGTAAAATGTTCTCCTGGATGGTTGAAGAGAAGTCTCTTTCAAGCCCAGTCTAAGAGCTATGGAATTGAGTCCTCATGTTATTAACCTTTAGAGTTATCTTTTCATTGTAAATTACCTCTGCAAAAGAGAATGCCATTTTAACTGTGAAGATGTGTACATAATTGAAATTAAAAGCAGAAGTTGTCTTAGAATCAAGAACCTGCAGATACCTCAGGAAATGTCTAGGGACTCTATATGGTTTGAGAAACACAGTAAAGAGCCTTAATTTCAGAGACAGACCTTGACATATCAACTCAGAATGTACCTGTTTTGTGATTGAGCATAATGTCTTCATCTCTCTCAACTGATTTCATAAATGAGGAAACAGGTCCAAAGACACCTACCTTGCAGGAATGTTGTGAGTTTTATCATAGTGCTGGGCCTATAGGAGTCAGGAATTAGTGGTTATTAAGGAGAGGAGTGAACATTAGAAGCTTCGTGTAATGTGTAGTTCTGGGCTGGTTGTATTGAGTGAATGATCTCATTAGGTTGCAAAAACCTAATGATTTTGAGATTAGAAGTCTGAAACAGTGAATATGAATTTGACTAAGGTTTTATCACCAGTAAGTGATAGGAAGATTTGCAAGGCAGGTCATAGAATTTGTCTTAGCTCCCTGCCTGCGAAGCATGCTGAAAATGAATGCAAGATTATTGGTGCTAATCATACATACCTTTGCTAGGAAACAAAAATGCTGATAACAACTAAGCAAAGAGGCCTGACAGGACGTGGAGAGGGAAGATGTAGAAGAGCTCATCCAAAACATACCCTGAGAATTCCTCCCAGTCCCCAGGCCTCTGTGTATCAAAAGTGTCTTAATGATATGCTTAAATGAAGCAAAAAACCAGAGCCTGGGCCCAAAGGACACTAGATCTAGGAAAAACCAGATGTACACTCCTCAGCCAACTTTTCAGGATGCCCACAGTATCTTATTCGCTGCTGATTCTGCTTTATGTCTGGGCAGGTCATGGATTTTTAAAATGTTTCATTCATTTTGTTAACTAAATGAGCAGTAGCTTTAAATCTGAAGGAAGGGTGGTAGGAAATGTAGCCAGGCTCCTCCATTACCTGTAGCCCCCAGTTCAGGAAGAGAATTAGTGTGAGGTTCTAGAGAAATGAATGCTCAAATCCACAAGTGAAGTCCTTAGCCTTTGGAGGCTAATGAAAACATCAGTGGCGGCCTGGATGTGAATACATGTATGTGTATCTTTTCTCATGAGAGTATAAATTGGAGCAACCTCTAGAAAGACGTTTAGGCAATACACATCATACAGTTGGACCTAAAATTTGTTTCCTAAGCACCCATCATACAGATATGTACATGTCTACTAAATAATGTTTGTTACAAGTGTTTGTTCTAAAGCATAGTGGAAACAATCTAAATGTCTATAAACAGAAAATGGAAAAAGAAAATGATACAATTATCCAATATGCTTCATATTAAAAAGAATAAGACCTGTCTTCTAATCTAGCATGGGAAGTTGTTTCTAAAAAAGTAGAATTCAAAATATGTGCCATTCGTATCTCCCCCTGCCAAAAAAAAAAAGATGTATATATTTGTATGCTTGTACTTGAAAGTTTGCATTATACAAAAGGAAACTCAACTGCTACAGGAAAGGAAAAGGATAACAGTGGTAGCTTCTGGCTTGGGAATTGAAGAGAGGGTAGCAGCACGACTTATTTTTCATGACTTACCTTTTCTTCATAGTTTGATCCTGTCCATTATGTTATTATAAAAAGTTATATTCTTTTTTAAGTAACAAGGACCACATAACTCTACACTGGGGATTTCAAAGTTCTGGAGCCTCCAAATACTTCAGCTCTGTGAGGTTTAGGAGTAAGAAGATGAAAGGTGCTTTCTCTCTTAGTGAAGACTTTTTTTTTCCCCCAAATGTAAAAAACTCAGAAGTGGGGATTCCATCATTAGTATTTCAAAGAGATCAGAATCAAAGCTTTGTTAAAAGTTTCATGACCGTAGAAAAATATCATTACTACATTGAAACCTCATTCTAAAACCTGACTGAGGTTTTAAAGTGCCCTGTAAGCAAAAACTCTAATGGGGAGTGACAATATAATTGAATGTAATTGTGATTTTATTCCAAACAAAGGTTGATTACCATAGATTTTGATTGTTGTTCACCCCACAGAAGCCTTTCAAATAAGATGCTGATGATTTTTGGAAGTGCAGTTAGTTAAATTCATGTAGTGTAATGAATCTTCTGTGTGTGTGTGTGTGTCTTTGTCTTTCAGAAAGGAAGGCTGTTCCTTGGGAATGCTCAGGCATTCGACGGTGCTCACATAAACAGAACATAGAAAACCATACATACACTCAGTTTGTACATAACAGTAAAAATCACAAAATAGATCAGACTTATGTGGTTTTATTTTTCTTAACTCTGGCAGATAGGACATAAAAATAATGTCTGTGCTTTTACACGTGTGGTTATAATTTGACATAATTTAGTGAGTTTATTACTTTTGGGCATATAGTTTTTGTTCACTCAACATCAGGTGTCACCAAAGTGGTGACAGTAATTTGCTTTGCTTACAGGATGGCCTCTTTATTTTTTGCTTCTCTCGATGTTGTCAAAATGTATTGCAGTACTTTTTGTATTGTATGTATGAGACTAGACACATAAAAATACATTTAAAATAGCCTGACAATCATTAGATTTTATGAAGTAACGATTACTGGTGTGTTTGCCATTGTGAAAAATTTGATACTGTCTTAACATTTTACATTTTCACCTTTGTTGGATGTTTTCTAGCTGTCACATGTGGGTAGTTCCACTGTGATTGTGACTTATGCCAGTCTCAGAATTCAGAGGATAAATATTTCAGATGAGAAGACTTTTGTATGCTAAGCTTGTTATTTAATCTCTATCTTAAACAGATGGCCGAGTAAAAATTTGGGTTTATGGCGTCTCAGGTGGAGGTTTTCTTATCATGATTTTCCTAGTATTTACTTCCTACCTTCTTTGGTAAGTACTGACTCGCAAAACATTTATATTCCATGTTCTGATCAGTGATGTGTTTTACTAAAAGATCCTTGCCCATTATCACTGGACCCTTTACCCACAAATAATTATCAACAGTAGAATAGTTGAAATCATTTATCTTTCCTGTCCTCATTTGATACAACCTACTTTTAATCAGAAGGTATAAGAGGGAAATCACTAGTGAGGATTTCCCCCATTTTAGTATTTTGATTATTTTTCGCTTTGACTGTATCTTAGCATCTCTTAGTACCTCCTGGGGACTGATACTTGGCTCCCACCCCCAGTGATTCTGAGTTCATTAGTCTTGCCTTTGGCCGGGTCATCTGGATACTTAAAGGCATCCCAGGTAATGCTAAGCTGCAGTTAATGCTAAGAGCTATTACTCTAGAAAATTCTAATTCTTAAATTGACCTATCTTGGCCCATAGGTTCAAACAACCAGTTTAGTACATTTTAAATAGTAGAGCCAGGTGTTTATCCACCTTGACCAGATGTAAAATCTTCTGTCAATTCCATTTTGTAAGGGACTTATTCCTAAAAATTTATTATTCTCAGAAAATGATGATTGGTTTACTGTACAGAATATATTTTAGTTGATGAGCTGCTCTTAAAACTAGCCAGGGGGCACCTGGGTGGCTCAGTGGGTTAAAGCCTCTGCTTTCGGCTCAGGTCATGATCCCAGGGTCCTGGGATCGAGCCCCGTATCGGGCTCTCTGCTTGGCAGGAAGCCTCCTTCCTCCTCTCTCTGCTTGCCTCTCTGCCTACTTGCAGTTTCTCTCCATCAAATAAATACATAAAATCTTTAAGAAAAGAAAAAAAAAAAACTAGCCAGGAGTAAATACATTTGAATGTTTTCAAGTGTGTTGAGAATATTTTATTAGCTTCCAAGCAAAATTTCTAAAGGATCTTTTTTTTTTATTTTCATGAGATCAAAGTGTTACTCTACTTTTTTTCTCCAAATTGAGCTGTTTATATTCATCATCTATTAAACTATTTCCTTGAGAATTTTTTATTTTTTTGGTTTTTTTAAAATTTTTTTAAAAGATTTTATTTATTTGACAGAGAGAGAGACCGTAAATAGGCAGAGAGGCAGAGGGAAAGAGGGGGAAGCAGGCTTCCTGCTAAGCAGAGAGCCAGATGTGGGGCTCGATCTCAGGACCCTGAGATCATGACCTGAGCCGAAGGCAGAGGCTTAACCCACCGAGCCACCCAGGCACCCCTCCTTGAGAAATTTTACCCAAGTTTTAATCTCGATTGAAATCCAGCCTTTGTACATTTAGCCTCAGATTCTGTTTCCAAGGTTACACAGGTTTATAACTCTTTGCCCTGGATCAGTGAAAATTAGTGAAGAAAATAAGATGACTTTAATTCTTTCTGCCACCTCTAGTGCTAGAAATTGGATTTCTATCCAACTACTCTTTCCATAGAGCTGTAGTAAAAAGTAACACCTTTGGTTAGTCCTTCACCTTATAATCAAATGATCTGACAAATTTTTATGTCTCGATAAATTTTGTGTGTATTCTTAGATCCTGTTGTAATGAACAAATGTGAAGTTGAAAGCTTTATATGAGGTTCAGAGTGATAGGCTGCATTCATCACTAGAACAGATTAGAAAAGGAGGAAAAGGTCTTATATTGCAACAAAAGATATGAGGGTTTAACAGATGAGAAACTTCTCTGAAAGTAATGGACCAACACAGTGCAAGGGAATAAGATAGTCTGTTCTTCTTTAAAAACTTGGATGTACCACACTTGTTAATTTTTAATCTCTTAGGTATTCCAGGGAAGAGGGAACCATAGGATTTAGAATTGGGGATGTAGTAATTTGTAGTAATAGTCCTTAAGTTTGCCTTTTAACATTTCTCTAGTCCTTCAAAATTAAGTATTTATTGAGGTCCCCCCTCTTTTTTTCAAAGATTTATTTATTTATTTGATAGAGGTCACAACTAGGCAGAGAAAGGGAAGGAAGCAGTCTCCCTGCTGAGCAGAGAGCCCAATGTGGGGCTTGATTCCAGGACCCTGACACCATGACCTGAGCCAAAAGCAAAGGCTTAACCCACTGAGCCACCCAGGTGCCCCGAGGCCCTTTCTGAATGACTCTAAACTCTGGGGATTAATTAGGTACATCACTGAATTCTGGAAACAATTTTCTAGAAAATTTAAGCATCAGTGTAATTTTCCTTTATTTTAGTGACCAAATTACATAAATATATATGGTACAGTATTTCTCACATCCATTTTTTCTCAGCTTCAGTGCTTGACTTTAGTTCTCTCCCTTTAGGAGTAGCACAATAGCTATATATCTGGACTCTAATTCCCAACAATCCTATATTAATTAGTTCATTATAACATACTCCTTTTCTCTTCTTTCATAGAGAACAAAGTTCGTGTCCATCTTTCGGATCATTTCGTTATTGCTTTCACCTCCCTTTCCACAGTCAGGTTCGGTTTTTCAAGTTTACCATCTTCATTTCTAAGTTATTGAGATACAGCACTTTTAGTTTGTGTTGCTGTTTCATAAGTTTTATTCAAGACCCCATGTACCCATTGTATTAGGGAAGTTTACCATTATATCTGTACTGTGCATGTATATTTTTGATGTCTATTATGTATTTTTTGTATTACAAATGCTTCATTATATGAAAAACTTCCAAGTACTGAATGTACTGGATGTAATTATCCTGAAGGATAATTTCTTGAGAGTAGTAACCTTATATTAGGGTACTTACAGTGGTACCTTCTAATTTTACAAGGAGGGTTCTGGTTCCAGGGTTTTCTCCTTTTTTCCATTCATCTAGAATGAATTTTCACGTTTAGCTATTGACACTCTGTTGCTTCTTCCCAGTAAAATGCAAATGCCAGCATTTTCCCCTTAAACAGTCTGGAATAACTTGTCCTTTCCTCCTCCTCTCTGGCACTTGTCTAGGCTGTGATTATAGTTGTTTCTTAAATATCTCCCTCCTCTACCACCTGAAGTAGAATAGTGGATGAATAAATATTTTACAGAGGTTGCCTTTTCAGACCTCACAAAAATCTACCGAGCTGTTACTCTTATTGTACCCATTTTATATATTTTTTAAAAGATTTTATTTGACAGATCACAAGTAGGCAGAGAGGCAGGCAGAGAGAGAGGGAGGAGGAAGCAGGCTCCCTGCCGAGCAGAGAGCCTGATGTGGGGCTCCATCCCAGGACCCTGGGATCATGACCTGAGCCGAAGGCAGAGGCTGTAACCCACTGAGCCACCCAGGCGCCCCTTATTGTACCCATTTTAAAGCGAGCTAAGTTATTTCACTTTTCTGAGGATCACTTATCTGAGGTCATGAGCCTGGTAAAATCACTTCTAGGTTGGTCTAGGCCCAGAGCTTTACGTGCTTTCCACTGGTCTTCTGGTGTGCAATTTCTTTCTCTTGAGTGACCCTAAAAACCCTTTAGGTTCAATGTAGTGGTTACAGTTTTCATATTTTTCAGAGGCTCCTTGTTTCCCAAGTAAGCTATAGACCTGGAAACAGACCTATTGATATCAAAACACCTACCATTTCCTGTTACACGGGAGCTGCCTAGAGAGTCCAAATAGATACTTTCAGGGCATTTTCTTCTATTAAATAGCTTGCAGAGGAGTTAGACGATGACAGTTTTGGAGATTTTATATTTTCTCCCCAAAATAAAAGGCTTAGGACAAGAGAACTGCTGTAATATGCCAGGCCTTAGGTGTATACTTTAGATGAAAGCAGTTTATAATAAAACTTAGAAATGCTTTTGAGAAAATATAGAAAAATTGTCTTCTTAAGGACCACTTCGTTCAGATACAACCCTTTGTACATCTACCATTAGTGCTCGAAGTTTTTGAAATATTACTGATGCCCCTGCTCCCCTGGCAGAAAAGATCCATGAGGTAATTTAGCGAAGATGAGCGCTGGGTGAGCCTGTAGTCAGTCTAGACATAGTGCCAGAAAATTGCTCTAGATAACTCCAGCATATCCATTCTCCGTAAATGGGCCATCGTGGTGCCCACATTTCAGAGTAGTGCACCTACTCCCCGAGGCTCTGCCCTCATGAGTGGCTGCATAAACCAAAGACCATTTCAGGCGTTCATCAAGCTATTTAATCTCTCCTGGCCTGGGGATGGGTCCCTGGGGCTTGAATTCAGTGGTGCTGTTAATTTCCCCACAGTATGCTGTCCGTTCATTATCAGTTTGTTTTTCTGCCTTCTTGGGTTTGTCCTTTGCTAAAATGCAAATGATCCTGGAGGAGGTCACTTTAAATGTGTGTCACACAATGGTCTCTTACCATCGGTGTTGCATAATAGCTTTATCCCTTTGCCAACCCTGGAAGTGGTGGTGGCTGTCAAGAGGGCTCCATTAGGAAGAGTTATGAGGTGACACCTCAGTCTGACAGGGAAGAATAGTGTGATGGATTAGAGATCCACCGTGGGTACAGGATGAGTGGTGGTGGCCCATGTGGCAGGCATCCGCGGGTCCTGATTTAGTGTGAGGTGGTCACACCTCTCCTGATACCAGAGTTGGAGAGAAAAAGTATTTCTTAAGGGGAAAATGAGTACCAGTAAGGGAGAAAGGAAAGAGAGCAGGGCCTCTCAAGACCGGCCTTCTAGTTGCTGACTTTGCTACGGACAGCCCCTCTCCTCATTTTTTAGCTAGTCAGGAAGATTTATAAAGTCACAGCTACCCGACAAATACCACCTAACTCAGTTTACCAGCATTTAAGAACTTTCAAACTCTAAAATTTCTCAGATCTCACATATTCATAGTTATGATATTAGTAGCAGTTGAGAGGATACCCAATTTGAAGCGATTCATAAAAAATGAGGTCTTCATCCAAATGATCCCCAACGCACTCCATGGCCCACAAGGATTTAAGGCCTATGTATTAGGAGACCCCTTTTCTTTTCCATAATCCCATACAGGGAACTCATTCATAAAAATATCTCTTATATTTTGAGCAGAATTTTATAGGCCCAACAAACAGGCTAGCCAAGTTTAGATGTCTCCCAGGCAACATCAATATAAAGATCCAGCCATCTCTATCCCTCTTCCCCACTCCCCAGAGATCTTCTTTCATTTCTCTATGCCTAGTAGCCCTTGGCAAATGCTAATTAAGAACAGATTGTCAAGAACTATTTGGAAGCACCTACATCTCTTCTCTTCCTTTCTCCTCTGAAAAGACAGGAGATACAGGATGGAGAAGATCCCAACTGTCATTTCAGATGAACCATCTTGTATTAAGACAACCTCCACTCTCATCAGCACCACCACCACTGTAGATGCACAGCTGTCACCTTTTTGGTTGTCCTAAACTGTGATGTGATCTCTTAGTACTTTTAAATGCTGCAGATTAGCATCCTCTGGACCTCATTTCAAGCTGGGTCCATTCTTGATGCTAGAGTCTGGGCCAGGCAGTAGAACTAGAGCCACTGGAATATGCTTATATATAAAATTGAATATTATTCTAATAATCATGCAGTGAATACCCTTCAGAGAAGCACACAATCAGAAAGTAGGGCTCCTATGGTAGAGGATGCTAGAGCTGGTTTCTGCCTGTCCTCAGCTTCCCTGGTTGGAAGGTGTCTGCCTGCAGCCCATGCCCAGCCCTCAGCATCCACTGAGTCCCCACTGCACCCCAGATACCAGGCAGGAGCACTGATAGGATCTGTGGTTTTTCCTTTAGTGATTTTTAAAATCATTTTTAATTTCTTCTTTTTGTAATGTTCATTATCAAACAAACAAAAAAAAACTTTAGAACTTGAGCATTTAAACTAGGTGATACTCTCTAGGCTCATTTTAATTCTATCAGGCATCTCTTTTTGTGTATGTGGTAAAATTCACATAATACAAAAGTCTCCATGTTAACCATTGGGGGAAAGAAGCCAGACAGAAAGGCCACATGTAGTAGGTCTCTACTGTATGAAATATCTGGAATAGGCAGATCCTTAAGAGATGGAAAGTTAAGTGGGTGCCAGGGGCTGAGGGTAGGGGAAATAGGAAGACAGCTTTTTGGGTACAGAGTTTTTCTTTGGAGTGATGAAAATGTTCTGGAACTAGATAAGATGATGGTTACACAACACTGAATATACTAAATGCCACTGAATTGTACACATGAAAATGTGTTTTTCTAAGTTCAAAGCATAAAAATTCTTATGTTCAGAAAAAAAATGTGTCTACCACATGCCAAGTTAATGGGATGGATACAGAGAGTGCACTGAAGAGGTTAAGGGCCTGGGCGTCTGTGTTAGACGTGCTTAAATTTCAGCCTGAGCTGCTCAGTCACTTGGGAGAAGGTAAGTGACCTCTCTGGTCCTTCTCTGTAAAGAAGTATTAACCCTAATGCTCCCCCCCACCCCACGCCCAGGGTTGTTCTGGGTTTATTGAGGTATTTTATGTAAAATGCTGAGCACAAGGCTTGGCACTGAGCATACTTTCAATTAATGATAGATGCTGCTGTAAAATAATTTGGAGACAAGGAAAGAGTTGGCAACACCAAAGAGCTGGGATCTAAAGGCATGGCAAAGCAAAGGCACTGAGGAAGGAAGAGAAACAGTATGGTAGGGATGGGGCACGATGAGGTAAAATTCAAGCTATCAAACTTCATAGATTGAGTTTTACCCGTACTGAGAAACAAAGTATAATGCAGGTTGTTTTGCCCCACATCTGGGCCATCACTGTACGATTTGCCAAGGTTGGTCAATTTCAGCTTCTCTGTGAGAAGGAAGAGCAGCCCTCCCTGACCTGGCAAAGTTGTCAGCCTCAGGTCAAACAGAGACCAGGCGAGAGTGGCTCTATCTACATGGTGCAGGATCAGAGAAAGTTTCCTAGCAGACTCTGGTGACATGGCATCCAAATGTCAGGTTTTAGGTCAGAGCAGAAGCGAATTAAGAACACCACTAGGGTAAGGCGGAGGAGTCTGGCTGTTCCAGCTGCTCTTATGAAATATCTCTGATAGGAGGGTCATGGTAGCTTAGGAATTAGTGAACAGCATCTGGTTGCATTACTGAGTATAAACAAGAATGAGGAAAAGTAGCTCTCTACCGAGTTCTTCCATGAAACCATTTTTAAGATTTTGGAAAAAAATGATAGCTTGTCCTTAAAATAGGAATAAAATATACAAGTATCCCAAAAAGAAACCCACATGTTCAGAGCACTCAATCTTTTGTCATTTAACCACATAAATTTCTATACCTTGTAATTGTCTTTGGCAGATAAACAGAGCTCTGTGAACCTATATCTGAGGAATTCTTTTCTCTTTGCAGCAAGAAGCCAAAACCACATCAAAGCACACCTCCCCAACAGAAGCCTCTGACCTTAGCCTACGACGGAGACTTAGACATGTAACCTGAAAAAGAAATCCAAATGTAGACATCAACTGCCTTAACCGCTTTCTCTTTTGTAGCTCTCAGAATTCTCAGTTTTTTGAGGAATCTCATGATGTGATACATTGGGCAGAATACAAATATTGCAAAAGTAATATTTCCTCAACTTCATTTGAACATGGAGTCAAGGATTCTTAGGTCTGCCATTTTGTTTTCAAGTTGTTTGTGGGTGTGTGTTTAATTTTTTTATTTTCCCAAGGGTCCTGAAAACCCTTCTCTTCCTGTTTGGAAATGGGAGGAAGAAAACATGATGGAATTCCCACAGACTTCAGTAAACTTTATCTTCAGTAGCATGATGACAATCTGGAGGAAAGTCCAATCAAGGCATTTACTGTAAATGATGAGCCTGACACTGCTTTGTTATGCACTATATTAGTGCAAGTCTTTATTCTTCCCATATTTCAACACTGAGTTTTCTAGAGTTTACATTGGTTCAAAGACTTTCAAATTGGATTGCCTATTTTCATGAACACAGAGAGAATGGTTTACCATTTCAGAAATTCTCTGAGTTTTTACCTTTAAATATTGTATTTTGTTTTGTAGCCAGGGGATGATGGCACTTCATGGGTTGCATTTATTGAAAAAAAAAAATGGCATGGGCATAATTGCTGGTCTAGATGAAAGCTAGGTGGTTTCTGAATGAAATATGTATTGAGTGTTAGGTGATTATGTTGGAGAATGAGGTAGATTATTTGATTACTAAAACTATTTTAACAGAAACTTAGCCATGTAGATATAATACTATACCATACACACTGGTAATTCAGTTTAATGATAACAAACTCTGCTTTTGTAATTTCAATTTTCTTATCTGAATATTTATAAATTCTTTTTTTGAATTTAATTATCTGACCTCATTTAATATACATCAAACACCAATCCTGTTTGTAGCAAGTCTTGCTTTTATAAGGTTTCAATAACACCTAAACACATTAAAGAGCTGAAACCATTTTATGAAGATAATTGTTTGTAATTGTAGATGTTGAGAGTAAGAAGGTGCCATCTTGTGCTATTGACTTGTATTTATAACAAATAAAGTGCTCAAGAGACTGAGATATTGCCTATTCTAGACTTATTCACTTATGAAATGCCCTTGCCTTGACAAAAACAGTTTTGCTGTCAGTTTCCCTGTGTCACTGCTATAGGGGTTGACAGCTGAAATCACTGCCGGAGAAAGGGATTCTTTTTTTTCTTTTTTTAAAAGATTTTTTTATTTATTCATTTGACAGATAGAGATCACAAGTAGGTAGAGAGACAGGCAGAGAGAGAGGAGGAAGCAGGCTCCCCCCTGAGCAGAGAGAGCCCGATGCGGGGCTCGATCCCAGGACCCTGGGATCATGACCTGAGCCGAAGGCAGAGGCTTTAACCCACTGAGCCACCCAGGCGCCCCCGGAGAAAGGGATTCTTATTCCGCATTCTCAACACTATCAAGTACACTATGAAATAGAGCCAACTACAATTCCACAGAGTAGCTTTGAAGGAATATTTAAAGCTCAGTTAACACTAGAACCAAACACTGATATGTCAATGTCCTCAGTAAATGGGAATGTTAGAAATGTGATACACCAAGGAAGAGAGAGGAAGTTTTCATTTATACAGGACTTCTGTTAAGCATTTAACACTGACTAACCAGTTTTGTCCAATGGCACTATGGTTTAAAAAGAAAAAAAATACATGAAAATAGGATGGCTTATATCTATAGTGTCACTGAGCAAACACACCCTAGAGTTGGCCTCTTATTAGTTTACTTAAATAACAGCATCAACGATCTTCATAGAAATTTAAGAGATCCTTCTTCAGAAATCAAATCCTGGCTGTGCCATTTTTCCATGTGCGACCCGGCATAAGGATCACAACTTATGTCTGCCTCAGTTGTTTGACCCACACAATGAAGATAATGAAATCATTTTCCTTTTAGACATTAAAATAAATGTCAGATGGGGTTGTGGTTCAAAATGACAATGTGAGAGGATACCCAGCGTACCGCCACCCCACAGACACACCAACATCTCTACAGCTTCCTATGGAACAATTCCCAATGAAATAAACCCTCAGAATAACTGAGCAACTCCTACACATCAGGCAAATGAGAAAATATAAACACTAGGACAGAAGAAGCTATGACAATCTCACCATAAGCCTCACCTGTGGTACAGTGACTCACCATCCCAAGCTTCTCCCACAGGAGCAAAGGTTTGAACCCCACTTTTGGTACCCCAAATTTTAAGACCTGTTACCTGTGAGATGAATCTCCCCAAACCATCTACCTTTGAAAGCCAATGGGGCTTGGATCACAAAACCTCAAGACTACAAAACTGAGTAGTTCTTGAAGGATTCACACAGACTCAACACAGCTAGACACCAGGGCATAGCATACAGGCAGCAGTCTTTCTATGAAAGAGACTATCTGCATATCTTAAAGGCTTTGACCTGAGGGTCAGGTATCTACTTTAGCACATATCTAGGGGCCTTCTCAGATATAAAGATCATAGAGGCAAGAGGCAAAAGACACAACATAGGAGCATCATCTTTATGTTCTCCCACTACCTTGTTCAGGTGGCCACTATTTCCTAGAAAATAGATTGTACATGCATCTAGGGCCCTGGTTTTTGTGGCTCCAACCCAGGGGAAGACTCCTGATCACCTGACTGGTGGCCACTGGGCATTGTGTTCATAGGTTCAATGAGAAGACATCAAACAGCAAACAGTACTTCACTATTTCCCCAGGGCTCAGTGAAGGAGGAGCAGACAGAAAAGCCCATCTCCTAGTCCTCTCCAACAAGAGGTCTATTTGCATAGTTTAAAAGCTGCTGGGTCCAGCTTCCAGTCAGCCTACATCTAAATGTTGGCCGAGATCCTCCCCTTTGGGCAGTAACAGGTACTGGCAGACCCTCACTTACTAAGAGCCACAAAGAACTAAGTAGGCTGCTTGGACAGTCACAAAGGTCTGACAGACCAGCAGGGTTCATCGAAAGGGCTTATCTGTGCAAAGCCTACAGAGTCAAAACAGGTAGAGATGGCTGTTTTATCCAATGGATAGAAACCCAACACACAGTCAAGGAAAATGGAAAAAACAAAAAACAAAAACAAAAAAACAGAGGAATATGTTCCAAATGAAGAACAAGATAAAACTTCAGAAAAAGACTTAATAAAACAAAGACAAGTGACTTATATGACAAAGTGTTCACAGTAACAGTCACTGACCCATCTATATGATACCTACCAGAGACTCACTTCAGATCTAAGGACACAGACTGAAAATGGGGAGATGGAGAAAGATATTTCATGCAAGTGGAAACCAAAAGCTGGAATAGCTATGCTTATATCACAAAAAATAGACTTTAAAATGGACTCTAATCAGAGACAACATCATTACATATTGATAAATGACTCAATACAAAAAGTACATAAAATTTGTAAGTATTTATATACCAACATAGGAGCACCTAAAATCCAGAAAGCAAACATTAACAGACCCAGACCTAAAGGGAGAAATAGTAATACAATAATAGGAGACTTTATTTCCCCACTTTCACAGATCAAAATCAACAAGGGAAACAGCCTTAAAAAAAATGTTAGACCTGCAGCATTTTTATTAAGCACACATGCAACATTCTCACACAAAGTATGTATAATACATTTGAGAAGACTAAAATATCAAGCATCTTTTCTAAACAGTGACATGAAACTAGAAAACTACAAGAAAGCTAGAAAATCCTCATATATGTAAAGATTAAACAACATGCTTTGTAAAACCAACAGTGATAATGTTAGTCCACATATTATAATGCTAATACCTACATCAAGAAATAAGAAAGATCTCAGGAAGAAGGCAGAGTAGGAAGATCCTGAGCTCAGCGACTCCCATGGACACACCAAATTAACTAGTGCATGTATTGCACCTCACTTTAAAAACCACCGGAAGGGGGCGCCTGGGTGGCTCAGTGGGTTAACCTCTGCCTTTGAATCAAGTCATGGTCTCAGGGTCCTGGGATGGAGCCCTGCATCAGGCTCTCTGCTTGGCGGGGAGACTGTTTCCCCCTCCCTCTCTGCCTACTTGTGATCTCTCTGTCAAATAAATTTAAACACACACACCAAAGACAGGCAGAACAGATTTTACACAGCTAATGTCTTAAGAACAGAAACACATTGAAAAGGATAGAAATGACAGAGATGTGGTCAGGAACCCCCAGGATGGCTACCTACAAGTGAAAGGAATATCATAAGCATGGAAGAGCACAGGGATCAAGCCCCACCTGGGCATCCCTAGCTGTAGAAAACCAAGTCTCTTCCCTTAAAGAACCAGCACAGAAACAGCAGTTTGAAAATCACTTCCTTTATACATGAAGATTTATTGACTACTTTTAGGACATGTGCCAGAGGGTCAGGGATTTACAGAAGCTTTCTCTAGAAATAGAAGTGCTGGTGGGCATCATTTTTCTTGTCCCCCATCAGCCTAGATAGTCAGATGCTTTTAGGAGCCTGTTCTGACACCATCCATTTATCTTGCCAGCACTGCTTGCCCACCCCATCATTCCCATGTAGACCTGCCCCACTTAACCCACCCACCCTAGCAGTTGCCCTTCCAAAGTGCCTCCTGCCCCACCACACCCAGCAGGCAGACTCAACTCAGACCAGCATCTCCCCAAAAAGGCCCACCACACCCAGAAGGCAGTCTTAGCTGGGACTGATGTACCAAAGCTATGCCTGTTCCAGAGAGAAGGAGAGCTGATCCAAACCAGCAGTGCCCTGGCACTAGCTGCATCTGGGACTCAGCTAACCAAGAAAGGGGCAGGCCCTTCCCACCAGTGCTCTCACAGTAGTAGCAGCCAAATATTTCAGACAGTGGGGCTGAGAGCTAGCCCCACCTGATAGCAAGTCTGGAGTGGTTCTACCCAGTCCTCTCAGCTAACAAGGCTGTGTCCAAACCCTACCCACCAGCACATCTACAGAAGCTGCAAC